ACTACTGGAGGCTATGGGATCTTTAAGAGGTGGGGCCTTGGAGGAGGGTTTTAGGTCATTGAGTGAGTGTTTTGAAGGGAGTTGTTGGACCCTGGTCATTTTATCTTCTGTTGTGTTCCCTGGCCACAAGGTGAGTGGTTTTGCTCCACCATGCACTTCCTCCAGGCTCAACTCAACAGTCATGAACTGAAACCTCCCAAACCTTTTCTCTTTGTAAGTTCATAATTTTGGGTATTTATTTATAGTGGTAGAAAACTGACGAACATATACCTTCTACAATGTTGGGTCATAATCTTCATTTTACAGACCAGAAAGCTCATGTTGATCCACAGCCCCGAGATGAATGTTGTAGGGCACCTCTCACATCCCCCATCTCCATAACTGTTTGAAATCCTGCCTCCCAAAGCTCACAGCTCCTGTCTCACTGGGGAAATTTCTGCCACAGAAAACCTCCTTGCCCCAGGTTCCACTCAATCTGCTCACTGGCTGGTAGGAATATACCTGCCCACCTCTGCCTCAGTGTAGAGAATCTGGGAAAGCCTCCAGAATTCCCTCAGAAATTGGTGATTTTGCTCAGAGTGCTATATAGTTACTCATCCTAACCAATCCCATTTCCATCATTCATAATCGGTCTTGATCAAAAGCATGCTTCAGAACATCTTTCTGGTACCCATTTACGTCTCAGTCTGTTTCTGGCAAACAAAACTAACCGAAGACAGGTACCTAAAGAGGTATTAATTAAATATGTGATAGTACAGTCTCCTACGAGAAGCACCTATTTTAATGGCATGGATTGTTCCACAGAGTCGATTAAGTAAAAGATGAAATGTAGTCTTTACCTTTTTTTAATGCAAATGTGTCATCCATTGATTTCTATCCATGCCTATCTGTGCATAATTCTTTATCAATTAAACTAGAGTCACTTTATACAAGAGATATATGTAAGGAGCATAAAGTCGGCTCTGCCCCAAATGTGGTTGGTTCACAAGAAATAGGACTGGTTATATTATTGGTCTTTTTCTGTTGTTATGCAATGTATAATAAAGGAATGTGTGGTCGTCAGTGCCTGAATGCCACTTTCAGTAATAGAAACGCCTTCTGGGGAAATAAGATTGGTGCCAGGACTAGAATATGGAAGCAGACTTGAAATTATTTCACTTCTATTTAAGAATGTTTAAAAAAGAAAAAAAAAGAAAGAAAGAAAAAAAAAAAGACAGAAGCAAGACCATTTTTGAGGGTTGCCACCACATGAGGAATTTGAATGAAAATGCCTACACAGTTTTCTGTAACCTATTACATAGAATTCCAGTGTTTAGGTGCACATGTTGGCTGTGCTGAGTGACCTTTGCATATTGTCACCAACCGTGCCCCTTCACAAGCACTCAACGTTATCTTGGAAGTAGATTTAGTTATTCCCTGAACAAAAATAAAAACAAATGAGTAAGAGAAAAAATAAAATATCTTACCAAGATAGAGTAAGCTGACTATAGACATTCTTTCTTACTGATTACAACCCAAATTTCTAACCCAAGATAAAGTTACTGAAAAATAAAACAAGAAATGGCAAACTTTGGGGAGAGGAGTTGGACATTGAACAAGCACCCTGAAAAAAAAAATGAGCTACCAATTGCTTTTCTCATTTTTATATACATATTATTATTATTTTTCTTAAGGGGCCACCATTGATCTGTGGTGATAGTGGGGGAAAAAAAACGGCAAAACTTTGAGAGAATCCTTTTTTCACTCATTTGTCTAAAATTTGGGAAAAGGAGTCCCTAAAACCAGCAGATTAGGGGTAAATAGCACAAAGAGGGCATCTGGATGGTGGGATCTGGTAATGTTGGGTATAAACTGGTACATGTTCTGAACACAACACTGAGCATCATGTGATGTAGTCCTGCAAAGAAAAGAAAAAAGCTAAACTAATACTGTAAGTACCGTGTAGGGAAGACAGAAACTGAAGTTTGAACTAAATATGTTGATTCTATCTGAACAACAAAAATAATCATTCCACAGAGGACTTTGGCAAGAACTAGCATCTATACAAAATATTTTTTAAGTATCTAGGATGCAATTCAAAGTAACTTAATCGGCAAAGAATCAGAGAAATGCAAAATGTTCTCAAGGGAAAAGAACAGCATCAGATGACTTCCATGGAATGACCCAGATGTTAGAGGTACTTGTTAGATTAGAACGTTCAACAGCTACTATAACTATGTTCTGATATAAAGGAAAACACAGTTGAAATAAATTAGAACATAGACATTTTCAGAAAAAAACCATAAAAAATAAAGAGGTAAAAAATTCCAGAATTAAACATTCTGTATCTTAAATAAAATTTTCACTTAGATGGCTTGATAGGAGAATAACAATGAGAAGAAAAATACCTGAAGACAGAAAATGAAGAAAGAAAAAATATTATAAAATGAATAGGATTCCAGAGACTTGTTGGAAATAGCCAAATCAATGGGGTCTCATAAGGAGGGAAAAGAGAGAGAGAGAGAGAGAGAGAGAGAGAGAGAGAGAGAGAGAGAGAGAGAGAGATATTAGTGCAGAAATTTTTTAAAAATGAAGAAATGGTGGCTGTAAACCTTTAATATTTGTGAAAATTATATATCTACATGTTTAAAAACTGGTGAAAACCCCAAATGAAATAAATTAAAATGTAAAAACCACCCAGACACATCACAATAAGCCTGAATAAAACCAAAGATAAAGAAAAAAACTTTAAAAACCGCTGGAGAAAGCTGATATATTGAATATGGGATGATCAAATTAAAATTACTTCCTATTTTTTTTTTTAAATCAAAACCATGTAGGCAATGAGACAGGGAACAACAAATTTAAAGTGCTTAAAGAAAAGATCGGTCAACAAAGACCTTCAACTACATTGAAAACAAACTTCAGGAAAGAATATGAAATAGAAACATTTGCAGAGGAAGGAAAATTAAGAATTTGTCACTAACCAATCTGCCCCCGAAGAAAAGCTAAAGAAAGATCTTCAAGCCAAGAGGAAATAAAAATAAATAAATAAATAATAACAACAAAAAA